TGAAATTCGGCTGATGACCCTGTACTGTAAGTACAGGGACTTTGGCCCGATTTTGGTGCAATTTAAAAGTTTGTAAAAATTAAATTTTGATCAGAATTAGCTCAAGCTTGCTACACAACATAAATGTATATGTATCAGAAAGAATAATTATTAAAATAGAAAAATCTCACCTGACCATTTTGAAGGGGTTTTTAGAAGACAGTGTTGTTTATTTTGTGTTTGTTTTAGGGTGGATCAGTCATTACTGCTGAAATGGCTCAGAATGAAAGAACTGTTCACACCAACTTCTTCAATGGTACATCCATTGATAATGAATACTCTTGTGTATAGTATAACCTTTCTTTCTGTTTCTCTCATTTAGACTTTGATGATATTTTTAACGATGAAGACTTGGACTAATAAAAAGAATTAATATTTGCATTATTCAGCACTGTTTTATTGTACAAAATTAGATCAATTTGTGTGTGGAAATTACTGAAATTATTTAGGAATGACATCACTAACTCATAATTAACATAACAATTTTAATGATTATTAACATTGTGTTTTACAGTATAGCTATATTCAAATGCAATCTTCACTAGTAGCATCTGTTGATGCTTGAATCTCATCATAAATAACTTCACTCTCTCCAATCTTTCCCCAGAGTATTCACTGAATCACTAACCAATGAAGCAGAGCTGCAAAATTTTTGGAAATTCTTTAAGGAAGGAGTAAGGCCAAACAAACAAACTGAGTATTACATTCAATACAGAAATAATAAATTACCACACTCTTAATACTGAAATTGAAGTGGACATACATGTATTAACAATTACTATGATTTTGTTCACTGTTTAATGCAAAGCTCAAATGTACTCATAAATTCCTGGTTGACATTCATCACAAATTTCTTCAATATCTTTTCCTTGTTGAGTCTTGTGAAGCTCGTATGGTTCACATACTTGCATTGCAATATCTTTATCAACTATTCGAAGGGTTGGGGTGGGACTAATAATGTGTGTACAAACCAAAAAGTAAATGGTAATTATATCACTATTATAAATTTATAATAATTATAACTAACTTTGGATCTTTACCCATACTAAAAAAATCTTTTATTCTAAAAATATACTAATTATCACACAAGACTATATAGTTGATTATTAACACCTTATAAAGCAGCAGATATTAATAGTAACACTGACAGTAAATAGAATCAACAATACACCTACTGACACACCAAGAGCAATAACACTATCACCATGGTTTGATGAATCTGATGGAGTAGAAAAAATTGTTGTTTCTGTTGATGTACTGATTGAAGGAGTTACTGAAACTGATGGAATAGCAATACTGACTGAAGTATAATGTGTTGTAC